TTATTGTTATTGGGAAAAACTCCTATTTTTTGTAGAAAATAATGTCATCTTCGAATAGTCAGATTAAATTACCACAGCATTGGCCCCAGTCATCAATGGTTGCGATCAATGGTAATTAGATTAAATTTTTTTCGTTATTAAAATTCCATAAAATATTGAAAATCTGCCTCACTGAGTTATAAAATTATTTAAAAGTGTGCAGCAGTTGTTTATTTGTTTTTATTGGGCTACTTGCAGTTGCCACGCAGAGATTTTTTTATCAAAATGCGAAGATTGAATTCAGTCCGGATATATACTTCTCATAACTGCTCACTGCTCCATTTCTTTTTCGTCTAAATTCTGAAGTCAATTATTCTTAGAAATGATGTTATAGCAGTTAAATGCCAGCCCTAAACCAAAATCTTGCTTGTAGTCATTGTAGACGATCCTCAGCATTGTCAGTGCTTTCACAAATGAATCTTAAAATTGAAACGGTAATTGCTCTTAGCATTAAGTTATTCTAGTTTTCACATTCAACTAAACCCCTTCTAACTTTGATTGTGTACGGGAAGATATAAATTTTTGTGCTGTTTAGTTGGTTTTTTATTAGAAAGTCTTATTCCTTTTATAAAACAATTGATCAATGCTTTTAGTGAACTGAATTTTCAATGGTAACGAATATTGTTAATCTGCATTTTACCAGTAAAATTTAAATGTTGCGATTTAAAATTGTCGCTAAAGTGTAGTACGGCTCATATATGATAGTAATCGGCAACTCTAATTGCTTCGCAGAAATGTTTAGAGGTTTAGAGACCTAAAAGACCTTTATTCATCGAATATGTGCATATTATGCATAAGTGTAGAGTTATTTTTATTGAAAAAATAATAGTTTTTTATACAAGAATAATATGTTTTGAGTATGAGTTTAATGGATTGTAAAATTTTGGGGATACATTAATATATAATATATATTTTTCTTGAAATAATTGCAAGGTTATGGTGCGGTTCGAAAACTTTTTAGTCAATAAAAAAACTTTTTTGAATTTTATATTTTTCGTAATTGTAGAGAGAAGGTTGTGAGTTTTACAACTAGACTGGCATATTGTTAAATAGAAGTATTTGGATGATTTCTATATTGAAGATATTGTCGAGTGAGTTAATGAATATTGCTCCCATATCCTTAAATCTAGATCTGGATTGATAATCTTGAACAGAGATTCAATATATTTTCCGGTGTCTCATCCTCCAACGTTGACGAGCACGATTTAAAATAGTTTTGAGAGAGCAGGCATGCTCTGGGTACATGTCATCCTAAAGTTCAGTGTCAAGGCCTGCTCTGAGTACATGTCATCCTAAAGTTCAGTGTCAAGTGGATTTAATAAACCGATCCTCATCATCATCATTTTGATACTTAAGGATCCATGAAGTCCCATGAGGTTTACGGAAATATATCAGTTTCTGATATAAAATAATAAGAAGGATGGATGTTAATGTTCACTGAGAGCAATATATTTACGAATGGTTACAATTTAGAACTAATAGAATATGTACATTATTTGATTAATGTCAGCATGTGTTTTAACAAATTAAACGGCAATATTTGGGAATAAAATTATATTTTAGCTGTATTAATTTTGAGAACACTACTACTCCATCTATCTAAACTATTATATATAGTTTTTATGAGATCCTAAATTGATAATGTCTTCGAAAAAAAATGTATTTTTAGTTTGGTTTGTTGTGTAATACTGATATTCCTTTAAATATAATATGAGCTCATTGAAAAACTTATTTAAATAAGGAATGAATCTGATTTATGAGCTTAGAAGATGTAAGCTGAGCCGAAGAACTAAACTTACTCAATGGTAACCGATACTATATAAAAAATCTTTAAGAATAGATTGAACCACTTGGCATTTTCCCTTCAACTCAATTATCAAAATAAATGATCTTATAAATTGAGAGGTCTGTTCTTGATTGCTAATTCAAATCGAACTATCTAGTTTTGTTTAGTGTTGCGTGTATACATCATATATGTATGTACGACTTTGTTTATATGTTATCTGGAAATAATTCAAAATAAATCATTTGTTTTAAGTGAAAATACATAACTTGATTGTGCGTTCTACTAACATATGCAATATCAGATCCATCCGATTCTTTCTTATCTCCTCTTCCTTAAATGATAGTTGGAATTTTTTCGATTTGCTGTATTCACGCCAACATTTTTCAACTTATCGCCTCGAGCGGAAAGTACACTTTTATTCCACGATAATTTTTGTGTAAATACGAGTATGCAATTTAGTATGAGGACGCATGAGGTCAACGGAACGCATGCGCTGCATTGTAAACAAGAAATAAATTACCGGCGATTTGAGCTCAAAGCAGCAGCAGATCAAAACGAACGTGGCTAAGCTAAGCTTCAAGAATCCCAAGCTGTAACCGCTTTTATTGTTAGAAACACAAGGACCGCAGGACAATATGCATTTTAGAATAAGTGTTTAGTATGAGAAAAATAATCTTAGAAGCAAAATATGTGTATCGGCTAAAGTCTAAAAAGTCTAACTAAAACTATTGCAAGGCTACAGATACTCATAGCAACTAACATTGTTTTCGAAGCTAATTTCTCAGTAAGCCTGGAAGCTAAAGAATGTAAGCAATGTAGGCTAACTGCAATATGTACCAGTACGCATGTGAAGTAGATCTATAACTTAAGAATTGTTAATATTTTAGTTCAGTAATTTTCGCTCTTTTAGAAGAACCTATAAAGATATAAAAGTGGCAATAAAAAAACGAATACAAAAGAAAATTGAAGTAAAAATCATAGTAATCATATATAATCAACATAGGCAACACTAGCTTGGGTACCTAGAGTGTCTAGCAACTTGTTGCTATGTTTTGCACATTTCATTTTAGCCATAAGGTGAAAGAGACGAAAAGGGAGGACAGCAGAAATAGTTTAAGTCTATCATGCTAACATTTTGTAAAATTTCAACCGATGCCACGTACTCATTGGGGAAATTATTGCAGGATGTTTATGATTGTGTGAAGCATAGTTAGCCCATTGGCGGCTGGCGCTCCTGCCGGTATTGCATTGCTGATGTGTAAACTAGATACTAGCGTATGAAAAAACAAAAAACATTTTGTACCTGGTTTTTGCGTTCATAGTTAAGGTTTTTTTTCGCAATAATGTTACATGCGCCGAGCAGGCGAGAAATCTGTTTTTAGATAAATTTATTTCCTGGCCGACAAACACAAATTGTACGTAAGACACTACGTAAACAGCAAGTCCTTAGTACTGCTAAACTGAGGTGTGTGTTGATATATCCGATAACATAACTTTGGGGCGTAGACGTTTCAGTACTTCATTTCGTTTATGGTTCTTTTCAATATTTCGGATCGTTTTGCTATTTTTTTAGTGTTTTTCGTAATCTATTTCATTTAACCTTGTTTTGTATTATTTTAAAGCCGTAGACACTTGCAGTTTATAGCACAAGCAGACGCCATCTAAATTCTTTAAAGATGTAAGTAAAGATTAATGTGCTTTGAGATATGAATCGTTAATTATTCTAGACTGCACTACCATTCCATATTGAATTACAAGGAATATGCGCATCTAGTTTGTGTGTCTAAAAAAGAGATGGGAAGAAGAACCAGGGAATTTAATCGATTTAATTTAATTTATTTTACATTTCATGCTATTTTTATCGTGTTTTCATTTTTACTCTATTCTATAACTACGAGTTTTATTCAAAACCGAACGATTTGAACAATAAAAATGAAAGATAAATATATCTATAAATTAAATGTACGACAAGCTAGAGTGTCATTTATTTTTCCTATAACTTTATGTGAATTGTCGAAATTCTGTAACAATTTCTATACAGATTCCTATTACGACAAATAGGTGAGTGTAACCTTAACATTTCTGATTTGGATAGCGGTCAAATAGAGATCCTCATAACTCGCACTTAAAACAACTTTCCTGTGGTTGATGTGTTTTTTTACATCGGTAGTTTAGGCTTTTAACAAATTTTAGGACTGTTGGTCGTTCGTATGGAACAGTCAATTAATTACAATACTAATTACGTGGTAAATGCTAAAAACAAGGCATTTAGAAAGCAAGTAATCTGAAGTTTTGACATCTATTTCACGAAATCAATAGATATCAATATCGGAAAAGCCCAATACAGTTTAGAGATACCTCACATAAGTAATCTGCAAGGTATCTAGATAAGATGTTTAAGTCAACGCTGTTTAGCAAAAGGTAAATTTTTGAATATTTATTTGCTGGAATGAGAATTTGGATTTGTTTGCCGTTGGACAACATCATTACACTAGTAGTTTCTTATCGATCTTACTATTTCGTGACAACTTCATCTAGTGAACTGCTGTTTTTATTAGATATTAAGCGATTACATTACTGTTAACTCAATATTTTGTTGATTGCAACCACACACCGTCATTGGTCGTGTTAAACTCGTCGCTTCTTTTGATCCAAATTCTTTTGGCTGTCAACCAACAACTACTCCTTTTGCCACCAGGGCTGCCAACGCGTTACATTAAATAGTAAGCACATGCAGCGATCCATTCTTATAGTTGGTTGGTTTTAGCGATGGCAGGTCACTTTATGGTAAGTAAATGTAGATTTGCTTTGTCAAAAAACGGTTCTAATATAATTCAATATGCATATTCTGTTGTACACAGAATACAACAGAATTCTGTTATATGCAGAGTTGATGCACTCAGATATATATTATTCGCGCTATTACTCAGCATCGAGACTTTATAATCTTCAAATCTTTACTAGGTCTTATATAAAAGAAAATTAAATCGAATATAGCTTTCATGACATTATAAGTGGCAATCAGTATATTATATATAATAAGAACAATAATATAATAACACTATATTTACTGCTCTTTTGTTTAAAAAAAAAATTAACCATTTATATTGTTTGTTTATTGAGTGGAATAGTTTTAAAAATATTTCAAAATGAGTTGTAGACATTTAATACTTACAGTCTCCTCGACTCTCTTCTATATCCAATATAATATTCGTTTGGCCCGTTTCAACTTCGCACATCTGCGATTTACCCAATATTCCTGCAACTTTCCGACAGCTGAGCAGTAAAAGCAACAGCGCCAATGAAAATGTGTGCTGGCAACATTTGTAAGGTGACATTTTTGTGCTGAAATTATAAATTTAAAAACAAATACAACAATGAATATATAAGTTTAATGCCAAAATGTTAATATATAATTATTTCTACATAAAAATTAAAAATACAAATAAACTTCAGGTCATCAGGTCTCTTAGATTGATGAAATTGTTCATAGTTAAATTTATTTTATAGAATTGGTGCACAATCTTTTGATCGAGTTAGACCTTTAAGATTGTACTTAGATTTTATTTAGTTTATAATAAGTTTGATTGTTATTATGATTACTGTATTCTTGTATTAAACATATTATAGCATTAATGAGAATTTTTTTTCTTGAATTCCTGTATAAGAATGATGCACGCAAAAATTTATTTAAAGATTGTCTGCCTTTGACATTCAGAATAATTTGCATTTTAATATCTTAAAGATAAATACATTTCATGCGAAGCGCGTTATTGCCTAAATTGGCATCGACGGTCGTAAAAATAGCAAAAATTTGCTATTGTCCTACGAGGAGGCGCCTTAAATGGTCAAGTATAAGAATGCAATCAACATATTTTTCCATTCCTACTTTTCCATAATATTGTTTTTTTTATTTGCGATTTATATTATTGACTAAAAAGGGCAAACCGGGCACACTTTTGACCATATAAGTTTCGATATTGGAACGGAAAATTTTCTAAAGAATAAATGAATTGAAGGTTCCGTTTTGTTCTTTATTGGAAATGAGTCACAATAACTTTCTACGCTAAAAATTATTATTTGTATTTCATAACTCATTCATTTCGATTAGAACGATTGAAACAAACAAAGTTAATTATCCAAACATATTCATTAAAATCAAATAAAATAAAATGATGCGAATAATAATATTTTAGTCGTATAATTCAATAATAATAGTTTAAGTCATAAGTAAGAAAAGTTGCTCCTTACTTATTTTTAAATAAAAATATCAAATTAGTTTTACGTTTTTGATCACAAGTGCTTGTGTGCTTCAATTTATGTTGCTTTGATTCACTATTTTTACAATAAGTGAATAATTTTCCGAATTCGTCCTAGGCTGGTTTTGGGTAATATATTGTCGTCAGTTGCTTATTTATAAGATTATTTGTACAGTCTAGCTTTCATAAATCGAAGTGCCATTTTGCAAAGAAATGATTTGACTTATGAAGACTTCGAGTTAAAGAACTTTTCGGTAATTGTATGTAATTTGCTCTCTAAACCCTGTTGCACTCTCTTTAGTTCGAGTTATAGATGTTTGGCTGTATATATAATTATAATCTTACAGAAGTCACTATTAAACATTGATTTTTATTTATTTACAGTTAAAATAAATACGTCAGTATTTGCTCTCGCTGAAGTACGCGAGAGACATATGAGTATATAACCATTGTAAGTAAAGGTAATGAGTACATATAGCAATTATTGAGTAGCTGGTAACCACCAGTTGAACACTATAAAACGTACGAAAATCGTGCCACAAACGAATATCAGCAAATGCAGTATGCTTTTATGTTGCAAAGAAAACAAAAAAAAAAGACAATATCTGGCTATAGTACAAATACAACATGCGGCATGGAACTGCAGTAGTGCAGTTTTTGCTGCAACTCTCTTATGTGCCAATGAATCAAGTGGGCATGTACAGAAAATGCGATTCATTTTTAGTTACCGCTGTTTTTTTTTTTGTAGTTTCAGCTCAAATAGTCGAGTTCAGTTAACAAACTTGCCGAAACAGTTACACGTCTATGACAGTACATGGCAGCAATTGTTGCAAGTATCCTTACAACGGCTGCAGGTTGTCTTGTGCTGCCCTTCGTTAAGTCGCTTGTGGCATTTCTGCCATTCTCAGTATCCGTTTTAAGTGGTTCTACTGTTGCCTGTCATTAATGCTTTAACTTTTGTAGTAAGTCAGTGTTGCTCCATTGCAGCACTTAATTGCTACTTCTTTATGTTCAAACAACAGCATAACAGCGCTGCTTGTTGTTCTGTTAACTTTAATAAAAATTTTGTTGTTGAACCTGAGGTATTATCGATTGCTATATAAGGTTTTTTAGCTAAGATATTTACAGCTCCTTTGAGCTACGCTATGAATTTGTTTTTTAATGGCATCTTCTTTTATTAAGCAAAACAAAATATACAATATAAAAACAATAATCGCGTTGTGCTATGAAAAATCATATTTAGGGACAAGTGGCATAACTTGTCTCTAAAGTGACCTTTACCGGAAGGTGTTGAAGTGATTACTTTAATAATTACAACAAAGATTACCACAAAAAGATTGTTTTCGCTGCAACAACCACCACTGCTGCAACATACCGCATAAAAGTTGTGTCCACTTCAGCTTATGTGCTTCCTTGGCGTAGGTTAATGCATTGCTCTCTGGCTTTAATTTAGCGTTGCCGTTTCTGGTGAAGATGATTGTGCTTTCGTTGTTGTTTGTGAAGATGATGTGCAAGATTGGACACTTCCCTAAGACTTGAAGATTTTTATAAAATTTAATTTTATTCGTTGCGCTTGACCGCAACATAAACGTCAACGTTAGCAACTGTTTTTGTGCTAATGTGGTTGCGTTGGCACCGGAATATTGCACTGGCATCACGGCACTTACTAAGCACTACATCGTTCACTTCTCGCCTCTTGCCTTCCTATTTTATTGTTAAGTGGTTTCACTGTACTTACTTGCATGTGAGAACTTTTGTGGCTTTAGACAAAATTTTACGTTTTTCTCATTACGAACGAAGATTTACACTTCGTGTAAATCCAGAAGTATATTTATCTAATGGATTTATTTACTTGGCTTATGAAAATATTGGAGATTTTTATTTGTAGTAGAAGTCATGCTAATATGTTTGCAGAATAAGATTTGTTTAGTAAAAAAAAGTTTAAGCGTTTACGGAAATGAAATTTGTATATGTGATTGTTTAAATGTATATAAATATGTCTATATTTGAAATGAAATGGAGGTGATCATCAATGAAAGCCTTTAAGTTATAAATGAAAAACATGGATTTTGCTTATGGATATGCAAATATGCCATAATGGGTAAAATAAATAACGAACAGTGAAATGTTTGCTTTCGCTTTCCCAAAGCTCCAATACTCTTTTAACAGATATATTGATTCCCATGGCAGCTATGGAAGATACGTTCATTTTGGTCTTACAAAGTGATCCCGATTTGATAACATAGAAAATTTTAAAGTTACGTTAGGTGAATGCAGGAATTTTAGAAAGATATACGCTTATTTTAGATCGAAAAAATTCTCTGTCGTAATTCCCATATTGACGATGTAGATAGAAGCCTTCTGCCGGGTATCAGTAACTGGCAGGCATTTTTGTAATACATTCTTATAGCAACCTGCAATAGATAGTGAGGATTGATTGATTGCTACAGTTGCGTAGCTAGAGTTGTGCTAAGGGGAGAGATGTACTAGAAAAGAATTTTTAAAGTTTTTGTAGTGTTTTATCTGTGAATTACATTTATCTATTCTCTTATCTTGTATATACCACTGAGCAGCTTTATTTTAAAATAATTGTAGGGCGTTTATATCATATGTGTGGTTTAGCATGATTGATAGCTAATGCTATAAATAAATCAAATAGCAAGAATATCGATTAATTTATCCGAATTAATATACCGAATAATGGAACTCAAAGACCAAGGCACTTTGTTGTTGTGCATATACTGCAATGTTGAGATATTCTAACAAGCGAACTAAACAGGAGCTGCCATATTGAAAAGAAGGAGGGAATCAGTAGTCTTTCGCTATTCGAATATCGAGCAGATTGTTCACTTAGTAGCAGAGGTTGACAGATGCAAAGCTAGTTTGCATAACTTCAACCAGAAGATCAAATATTTTAACAAGAACATCACATGGAGTTACAGTATTTAGTAACAAATATTACTCCAATCGACTTATTTACTTTAGTTACTATATTATAAACATATTCACAAACCAAAAAGATCCTTTATTTTGACAAGTAGTTACTTTTATAATTAACAACAAAATAATGACTTAAACATTAGATGCATTTTTATAATTGTTTATATTCCAAAGATTGTATAAAAACATCATTTATACAGAATTTTAGATAACATCATTTCGCTCTACAGCCCACAGAGAACTTTGGCGTGCATGGAGCTTCGAATTATCTATTTTCAAAGGGCGTGTGCTAGACCAAATTTAAAAATTTTCCAAAAAATTAAATTTAACAAAACTGAGATTAATCAAAGTAATTTATTACATTAGAAATGCGGTAAAGATTTACTGTATTTGACTGTATCAGAGTAACTCAAAATATTGAGGCATAAAAAAAAAAAGAAGAAACCCCAAATTGGGTGTAAGAAACCAGATTTGATCACTTAATTTGAGTTTCTGTGTATCGAGATAATGTTAATGAAGACATAACAAAAAAAATTAATCATGCATTTCTAAAATCATTATAGCGAACTGCACTTCCATCACTTGAACCAATAGACTGCCACAGAATGATAAATTGAACAATAATCCAATCAAAGCGGTTAACGAAAATTCTTATAATTCAGATTTCCACACTATGAGCGAACAAAATTCACATGTTGCACTTAATTTACCGCGTTAAATTGATTACAGAAGTAATTACAGTTGTTGTCAGCATTGCCAGAAGAGTGGCCAGTGTTGCCAGTATTGGCAGTGTTGATAATGTGCCTGTAGAACAATTGCTGTAGTGGTAGTGGTGGAAGTCTGTTGGAAGATGCAACAGTTAGTTGAAATCTCAAGCCAAAGGTTGACTTCATTTCAGGAAGAAAAACGAATTTTCATTAGAGAAATATTCAGTAGAAAAATATTAAAACATAAAACAAAAAATTGAAAACAACAGAAAATTCTATGTACTTGTGAAATATTTTAAATTACCGCTTTGCATTCAAGCCAAGGAATTCAGAAACTCGATTGTTACAGCGACAAGGCGGTCATTCGCGATACTTGCGAAAGGCAGTTGCTGCATTTCGCCTCTAAAGAACAGAAGAACAGCAAGTCTGGGTTGA